CAGAAACCACCTACTACGGGACAGGCCCAACAAGAACAATAACAGAACACCACTGGTCATCACATACAGCCCCCAGCTAAAACCTCTCCAGCGTATTATCCACGATCTACAACCTATCCTGGAAAATGATCCCTCACTCTCACAGATCTTGGGAGGCAGGCCAGTCCTCGCTTACAGACAACTCCCCAACCTGAAGCAAATACTCACCAGCAACTACACACCACACCACAGAAACACCAACCCAGGAACCAATCCCTGTAGCAAACCTCGTTGCCTACTCTGTCCCCATATCTACTATGGTGACACCATCAGAGGACCCAACCACATCAGCCACACCATCAAGGGCTCATTCTCCTGCACATCTACTAATGTTATATATGCCATCATGTGCCAGCAATGCCCCTCTGCCACGTACATTGGCCAAACCGGACAGTCCCTCCGCAAAAGAATAAATGGACACAAATCGGACATCAGGAATGGTAACATACAAAAGCCAGTAAGTGAACACTTCAGTCTCCCTGGTCATTCTATTACTGATTTAAAAGTCACTATCATTGAACAAAAAAACTTCAGAAACAGACTTCAAAGAGAAACAGCAGAACTAAAATTCATTTGCAAATTCAACACCATTAACCTGGGCTTGAATAGGGACTGGGAGTGGCTGGCTCATTACAGAAGCAGCTTTGCCTCTCCTGGAATTGACACCTCCTCATCTATTATTGGGAGTGGACTACATCCACCCTGATTGAATTGGCCCTGTCAACACTGGTTCTCCACTTGCGAAGTAACTCCCTGCTCTCCATGTGTCAGTATATAATGCCTGCCTCTGTAACTTTCACTCTATGCATCTGAAGAAGTGAGGTTTTTACCCACGAAAGCTTATGCCCAAATAAATCTGTTAGTTTTTAAGGTGCCACCAGACTCCTTGTTGTTTCTGTTTGTAAAGAGCTCGTTAGTACCCAGGTTTATTTCTTTATGTGGCACTAATTCACGAGTGCTTTCGCTTGCATGAAGTACTGCCTTGAGGCACATTTATTCCATTCAGCTGTGTGTTCAGCGCTCAGATCAGACAGCCTTTAGATTTGATTATTAGCATTATTTTGTTTATCTATTTAAGAGGTTTGATCTGACAAGCAGAGCTTCTGTATAGTGCCCATTAAAATAAAAGATTATTTATTCTTCCAAGGTGTTTTTGCTACGTTAAGCGATCACAGGCTAGCTTTTAACCGGGGACAGAAAAGGCTTCTCGTATTTGGAAGTGGTTCTCCGAGGACCCTCAGAATCTGACTTTCCAGCAGAGCTCATGAAGAGACGCTGATTTAGCTCAGCCGGCCCAACGCTAAGGTAACCCACCTCCCCGCACACTTGCTACAGGAGCCGACTTGGAATTCCTTGCCCTTGGCTAATGCAACAGAGAGGTTGTATTTATCTCCACGGGCCATAGGGAGTGCAAGCAGCCCCCCGCCAGAACAGTTTCCCCCCCCCCCCGCTGACATCCACTTCAGAGGATCTGTTTGCATAACAGGCAGGGTGCTGCTATGGGAGAGGTAAAATCAGCTCTTGACGCTTCGGGCACATCTATCTACACTGCTCTGCAGTTCGGTCTAGGAGGGGGTGACTTGCAGTTCGGACTGAAGTGCTCTGCTGTAACCCCTCCATGTGGATGCTGTGGGTGTGAATGTAAAGGCCCTGCCTTCGCACAAACGTAGTCCTGTTGGAAGAGGAGTGTAGACGTGCCCTAGAGAGGCTGAATCTTGTGTCTACTCCAGATCACGCACTCGTTTAGGGGAGACAGGTCTCTCTGGGAGCACAGAAGGAAACGCAGTAGGGGTGTGTGTAATTCTGGCCATCAACTGGGTGGGCTGTAGCTGCCCATTGTGTAATGAGAATGATAGCAAATAAGGCAGAGAGATCTGAGGAGCCGTCCGTCCATGTGTGAATCAAGTATCTGGTTACTGACCTGCAGCCTGGGGTGCACTCTACAGGAATGTGCAGTAGCTTTGATAATATAATAAAATGGGATGTATTCAGAAGCCCCAAAATATTGAGTTCCAGAGACTTAACCCCATATATCCACTCAGCCGAGAGAGACAGTGTTGTAATTAAATGTTGATCTTTACTTATAATTGGCGAGGTGTGTGAATTGCTCTCTGAATTACTGCAGCTCATGTTGCCATTGATCTTGAAATCCATGGAAATTCAATACCCACAGGCTTATGAGCCAGTGAACTGAGTGTGTTATTAAGACACTTGCTGCTGCCTGCTGTCCTAGAGGTGTGAAAGCAATAGAGGAGTTACAATTCCATTACAACCTACATCTCAGTAGCTGACTAGCTTCTCTTGTCAGAGAGCCACATCCTGCCAACGGGAGAAATCCTGCAGGAGCAGGACAGGACTCTGGCTTCTTTTCATAGCCTCTCCATTTGGAATGTGTCAGAGAAGGTAACATGGAGCCATATGGAGCATCACCGAATGGCTATTCTGTGGTGACTCCCAGCAGGGTTGCAAGCAGTAGCTATGTATTGCCTTTCAGGGGGAAATGTGGCATCAGGTGCTTTCCTCCCACTCAGAATGGGAACTTCAAAAGGGGCCGGCATCAAAGCCCAAAGCAGCTCCTTCCCCTGGTGGCCTAGGAAAGCTTTTATTTCATCTCGTCAGGTTAGAAGGGATTGTTAGGATCATAATAATGCTGCTCTTACATTCAGGCTTCCGCAACTCTACTAACAGACGCTTTCCACAGCAGCTTAAAAGTAGCCTAGAAAAACACACATGACCCCCCTCCCTTAAAGTTATTTATTGTCTACATTCTAAATCCAGCACACAAATGAAACTGATTAAAGAAACACAAACATGGTCACTTAAAACCTGACCGTGGAGCGAAGACTATAGTTTGATGCTCGGATCCCTTGCAATAGTTTCTTGCTTGACAGGTAGGATTCACTGTGTGCAATACAGCTCTGGTGTTTACAATATCCGTAAGGGTGAGACAAGGGCCCTCCCTCTCACAGGACAAATACATTTACAGCAAGATGCAAGTCTCCACCACTTCTTCAGACACCATGACCTGAACACCTTTCAACACATACCAGAAACCGGTGCCAAGCAAGAAGAGCCACTCAGTACATCAACCCCAGGCCAAGAGCCTGCTTTAATGTGGACACGTAGTAATAGTTCTGGACCATTTCCAAACAATTAGCTTGTAACCCAGGGCCAGGAGTTGACTCTGCCTGTGACTGGACACCATCCTAGGAAGCAGCTGGATATCTGGGATTGCAATGTCATCTGCTTCTGTAGTTCACCAGGATTAGGGGACAGGCTAATTTTTCATCATTAACAGGTCACTGCAGTTCATGACACACATTAATCCAGTTGGTCCCTGCAGCTGAACACTTATATAAGTCTACCTTTGAAATCAGGTGTATCCTGGTCATGCTTCAAAGAACTCCCCAGCCTAGGGAGCTGATGATCATTAAGTGAAAGCGTTTCCATGGTTAAGCTAACCTGGTGTAGTCAGCACCAGCAACCGGGTAATTCGGTGCGCACTGCCTTATGAAAAAGATTGCAGACTCCTATTCAACAATTTGGTGCACTTGACAGTCACGCTTTGGACTCCGGCATCTCAGATTCTGAGCTGGGAGAGCTTTCTCTCTGCCTCAAG